TTGGAGATGGATAAGGCCGCAGCATATTTGAGATTCCAGAACATAGTGGAATCAAAAGAAGAGGATCTGGAACAAGTGATAGCAGAAATACTAGCAGAAGTTTTGGAAAAAGACAAAGATGATATTCTGAAAGAGTTGGACGAAATTTATAGAGTGAGTACAAATTATGCAAGATGTCACAAATGTCCAAAAGAAGTTGTCTTGTAAGATTTGCTAGAATAAAGGTCTAGGATATTATATACAAAATATCCAGAGAAGAAACAATCGCATACAAAGATAAAGAAGTCTTGGTGCTTAAACAAATCCCAAGAAGAGTAAGAGAGCAAAGGTGAGACTATAAATTCTTGGAGGCCCAATTAAATCAAAAAGGCATTGTATTTAGATGGCTAATCCCAGAAGGGATGTTAATCTCATGGGAAGAAAAGAAAATTAGAGTAGATTCTGTGGAAAAAGCCCAAGAATTTTATGAATGACTGGTAGGCCCAGAAGAACTGAGTAGTAAAGATGAACTAGAATCAAATTCGCAAGACAACCAAGATTACCAAAAGAATAGAGACAGGAGTCCCAGGAATCTGAAAAATACACAACAACTATAAGAGAGAGAAGAACCGAGGACACGTTACCAGCCACAAAGAGAAAGAGGAGTAACTACAAGACAAAGAGCAAGAATCAACTAAACAATGGATGAGGAAAAGAAAATATTATCAATTAACATAAATGGCCTGAATTCCAGGATAAAAAGGAAAATAATATTAACTAAACTAATCAAACAAAATGCAGATATAGTATGCTTACAAGATACCCATATAAGGAAGTCAGGTGAAAAATATTTAGAATGCCCAAAGCTAGGGAAACTATATACGACACCAGCAGACTCTGGGAAAAAGAAAGGGGTAGCAGTATATGTGAAGGAGGATATGAAAGCAGACCTAATTTGGACAGATTCCAACGGAAGAATTCTGGTTTTACAAATCTGGATTAACTCAACCCCAATTCTATTAGTAGTGATTTACGCCCCTAATGAAAACCAAAAAGATTTTTTTAAACATTTGCATGAAAAAATAGTAGGATTAGAAAAAAGGAATATTTGTATCTTAGGGGACTTCAATGCCATTGTGGACCATCAAAAAGATCACAGTAGTGGGGGGAAGAAGAGGAAAAAGAGAGTTACCGAAAACATGTGAGGAAATGATGACTGAATTGAATTTGATAGATGTGTGGAGAAAATTAAACCCGGAGAAAAAACAATTTACATTTTACTCAAATCCACACCAATCATGGACACGAACTGATATGGTGTGGATGAACGGTGAAATAGCAAATGAGTTAAAAGAGACTGAAATTTTACCTAACGAATGGGCAGATCATAATCCGATTCAGATATTGTGGAAAGGTAGGAAAAAGCCAAGGAAGAGGTGGACACTAAATACACAGCTAATTAAAGAAAAAGAATTTATGAATAGACTCAAGGAGGAATTAGATTAATTTTCAAAAGAAAACAATAATGAGGCAACTATGAAGCAGAATATTTCGGATACAATGAAGGCTGTAATAAGGGGCACAACGATATCATATACTGCCAGGAGGAATAAAGAAAATTATGCCCAACAAAATAAATTAAAAAAAAGAATTAAAGAACTAGAAAGCCAGTTAGAAAGTACTCCAAAGGATTGTAGATTGCAAAATCAGATGATAGTAACTAAACACAAATTGAACTTAATTGAACAGGAAGGAATGATTACAAAGTTGAATATAGCTAGACAGATATTCTTTGAACAGGCTAACAAACCAGGGAGATGGCTGTCCTACAAACTCAAAAAAGAAAAAGAAAAAAGATTAATTTATCAATTAATAGATGGAAATGGGGATGCCCAACAGGGAATAGAACACAAAAAAGAAATTGCATATAAATATTTTGAAGACCTCTATAAAAAGGAGGAGGTAAAGGAGGATATGATAATTACTTGGGTATAACAAAAGACAAAGCAATTGGGGATGAGATGAAAGAAATGCTAATTAAAGATATTACATGGTCTGAACTGAAAACAGGAATAGAAAAAAAAACAAACTCCGGGACCTGATGGGATCCCAGGGGAACTCTACAAGGCAATAGGAGAATAAATAGGATCCCTTATGGTGGAAGTATATAATGAGGTTTTACTTGCAGTTAAAATGCTGGATTCATGGAGGAAGGCATTGATATCGCTGATTCCGAAGGAAGATTCAGATCCCCGACTCATATAAAACTATAGATCAATCTCTTTGTTAAATACGGACTATAAAATATTTGCTACTATTACAGCAAATAGACTAAAAAGAAACTTGAATGAATATATACATAAAGACCAAAATGGATTTCTCCCCAACAGACAAATTAGGAACAATTTAAGAATAGTGGTTAATGTTTTGGAATACTACGAAGCCCACCCGGAAAAACAAATAGCCCTTGTATTCTTGGATGCGCAGAAGGCATTCGACAATTTAAATTGGCAATTTTTAATTCAACAAATTTACAATATGAATTTAAGCATTAAATTTGAAAACATCGTAAACACAATTTACGCCTCACAAAAAGCGAATATTATAATTAATGGAGAATATACGCACTCAATAAAAATAGAGAAAGGAGTTAGGCAGGGATGTCCACTATCTCCCCTGCTCTTCATACTATCTTTGGAAACACTACTTATGCGAATTAGGCAGAACCCAGGAATAAAGGGGTTAAAGATTAAGAAAGAAGAATATAAATTGCAGTCATTCACGGATGATATGGTCTTTTTCATAGAAGATTCAATTGAACTAGGTCAGGAACTGTTGAGAGAGTTAGATCAATTTGGGAAAGTCGCAGGACTCAAAATTAACAGGAAAAAAATGAAATTAATAACCAGAAACTTAACAGAAAAACAGAAATCAGAACTGGAAAAGGCAGGTGGTAAAGAAAATTAAATACTTAGGAATATGGTTGACGGCTCATTGTAAGACACTAATGGAAAATAACTATAACAAGCTACTGCAACAGGTTAAAAAAGACCTAGAGCTATGGGTTAAATTGCAACTCTCCCTATTAGGGAGGATTGCAACTATTAAAATGACTATTCTTCCTAAATTTATTTATTTGTTCCAGATAATACCAATAAAAATACATAAAAATTTCTTTGTGGAACTCAATAGGATAATAGCAAAATTTATTTGGCAAGGAAAAAAAGAGAATAAACTTTAAAAGCAATGCAAGATATGAAGAGCGGGGGGGGGGGGGGGGGTATGGCACTCCCAAATTGGGAACTATATCACAGCACAGCTTCCTTACTATGGCTGAAAGAATGGGTAAATTTATCGAATAAAAAAATGTTATTTCTAGAAGGCCATGATTTACAGAGGGGCTGGCATGTGTTCTTATGGGACACGGGGAAAACCAAACAGAATTACTTCCACAGACATGTAATTAGAGACTCTTAATTCGCTAATTGGAATAAAACAAAGAAAAAACACTATCTAAAGATTCTGATTTGGATCTCAACAATTGAGGCGATGATACATCCGAACAATCTGGATATTAACAAGATGATAAAATATAAAGACCTACTGGATGCACAAGGAACTTTAAAATCATGGCAAGATCTCCAAGAACAAGGGTTATGAATTGACCGGTGGGCTTACCTCCAAATACAAAATAGATATAGACAGGATAAGAAAGTTTTTGGAATCTACAGTAAGCCACAACAATTAGATAAAAAAGGTTCAGACAAAAAAAATATAACCAAATTTTACAACTACCTATTAGAGATAGAATTAGAGGAGGAAGTAGTCAAAGGCAATATGATAGCTTGGAGTAGAAATATAGGACGTAGCATCACTTTAATAGAATGAGAAAAGGTCTGGACCAGGAATAATAAAATCACAAAATCAGCAACATATAAAGAAAATGCCTATAAAATGTTTTACAGACGGCATCTTTCTCCTTCAAGATTATCGAAGATGTCTCCTAACATGAATCCGAATTGTTGGAAATGTAAAAAGAAACACGGAACATTCTATCATATGTGGTGGTACAGAAGCCCAAAGAATCAAAAAATGGTTGGTGGAAATTACGGCTGAGCAGACTGAATTAAAACCAGAATTCTTACTATTAGGGATATTCAATAGACAACTCCCCCAAAAAGCCAAATATATAATATTACACATACTTACTGCAGCTAGATTAGCTTTTGCACAATGTTGGAAACAAGCCTATATTCCAACAGAGGAAATGACTATTCAGAAAATGGATAAATTGAAATGGATAAATTGCAGAAATGGATAAATTGACCCTAGCACTTAAAGATAAAGAATCATCAGAATATTACAAGAGTTGGGAATGTTGGTACAATTGGATAGAACAAAGATAGATAATATAATAGTAAACATTATTAAACTGTAAAGGAGATTAAGCTACATCGGTAGTAACTATATACTCGCATTAAGATTTAATTGTAAATATGACACCAATAATGATAACAAATAAGGAACCACAAATTGTCGATAATGGAATTGCCCTTTATTCGTTTTTTTCTTTGTTTTTCTATGTTGTGTATGTGTTTGTTCATTTATTTTAATTGTATATTCAATAAAGTTTGCTTTTTAAAATAAAAAGCATAATTTTTGATATATGATTTTTCAAGAAATGAATGCAACTTATATTGTTGGTAGATACTAGAAGAGATTGAAAAATCAATTTTTTTAAAAAAAAAATGGAAATTTTAAACACAAGCAAAGTGGATTGTTTGAAAAACAGATATTAACAGTCCAACACTAATGATAGAATGTTGTCTCAGGCCACAAATATGAGGACATTAAAAAAACATACCATAACTCTATTGTGTCAAATAGAAAATTATCTATTATATAGGTAATCTTCCAAAGATCCAAAGTATTAATGTCACTGCTGCTGTTCCTTGCTTTAAACCAAACCCTGGCTGAGGCATCTTAATACATGCCTCTCAACAAATGGGGGCATCACTAACCTCGTGCTATATCAGGGGGAGCCTCAGTACTAATTAATCTCTGCCCAGCACACATGGAACGCAACATCTGAAAGACAGCCAAAGGTGCCACATTCATGCGTAGAAGGTCCATCAGAATCCTAAGGAGAGAAAATAAATGTTAAAAATGTAATACTTTCATTCATTATTTCAAAACAGTATTTCTTGATAACAGTACCTGAAATCAATTGTTTCTGGCTTGTTAAATAAAATTAACAAGTATCTAAAAGAACTGATATAACTCAAATATATACATGTTTGATAACCCCACCCTAAGAATAGAGAAACAAGAGTATTCTAACCCACTAAATAAGAAATTAAAGAAATTTATCAGTTGTTAGTGTGATGAATGAAAAAAGAAGAAAAAATGCAACATATAAGGTAACAAGAGCATTGTGGATGCCAATTGGAGGAAGCTCTTCATGCAAGACATGGTGTTGGACAAGATTGGTATTTCATACGAGGAGCCCTTAAAATATTGTATGTAAAAGCTGTAAAGCAGTGCAGTACAGCAAGCTCTCATAATACGCAACAATGATATCCAAAAGGGGCAGAAAGATTTAGGGCAATATTATTTCTTGTTGACTCTGAAATCAGGCTCCTTAATAGCTATATTAAGGCTTAATTGTTATATTTTTTCAGAGAATCTCCCTAGCTTGAGATGTGAGTATAATGTGACAAGTGTCAGCCCCGAATCCATCATGATTCAGAATCTGGGTTGCCACAGCGGGGGATGGGCAGGCTGTGGGAATGGGAGAGTAGCAAAGGGAGTATAGCCACAACAATGTTCTTTCACTAGAGATCAAGGACAAGCTTCTGGCATCTGGAGAAGAGTGACTGGAATTTGGTGGCAGCTGAGACAGGAGTTTGATTGGCTAAGGTCACCTGGGAGTCACTAAATGGGGCAGAGTGTGAGTTTTAGTGTGGTGGGGGGAAAACGCAGGAATTCAGATTCGGGTTTTCCCCAGATGTGCCAACATGACTTCTCTAATAAATTCTTACTTTGATGGACTTTGTCTCTGAGTTTTGAATTATCTGAAGCGTTCTACTTGGAAAGCTGACATTAACCCAAATCTCCTTCTAAAGAAAATCCCAGTGGCTTCTCGCAAAAGGGGTCCTGAGCCCCAAATGCACCCCGACCTAATGGGGGGGCATAAAGACTCGAGGAAGATGGAGCAGGGAACGGGAAGCCCTGAAGGGACTACTGGATCGACTTCAAAGAATGTTTGCGGAATTCTCTGTTCCCCATCAGCTGCTGTAGTACCCGAAGCAGAGGCAGTGGAGGCCGAATTCTGGAGGGGCACCTGACCCAAGGAACAGGCCCTATGGCAGTCCCCGCCAGCTGGACCAGCTGCGTAACTACAGTTGGAATCCGTGATGATAGTCCCAGGACCTAAGGGGTGTCAGGACAACCTGAGCAAGTGGCAGTCTTCAAATGGAGGCCATTGAAACCCCTGGAGCTCAGCAAGTTCAGGGAATGGAGACTCCAACTGTCGTCGCAGAGTCAGTTGCTTGATGGACTACCCAAGAAGCTTGATCAGTTGAGTGTGGGACCCACAGTTCAAACATCCCCACACCCGATCCAGCCTGGTTGGATTCTAGTCCAGCCTACATTCAACTTTCTAGGGTCAGGGAGCACAGCAGTCCAAAGTGGGGCTTCAGCTTCATTCCACTCGGCACTGGCAGGACCAAAGCTCAGCCTCCTTCTTTGGATGCCATCCGTCGGGGCAGTAGCCCAACAGGGTGCTGCTGCAGGGTGACACCCTGGGCCCTTGGATCACTCGAGCCCAGGCACCAGGGGAGGAACAAGAGGTTTACCCAGGCCTGCCAATCATCTCCCACCAGCACCTCCCAGTCTACCACCCATCAACCAAATTCCACCCAGATAGGCTTTTTACCAGGCCAGGGGTGGATCCAGTACCAGTAGATGCTGGATCCTATCCCTCCGCCAACCCCACCAGCTGCAGCTGCCCCCCCATCGCAGTTCTTGGCTACCTTTGATGGCACCCCAGGAAAACTGGCCTATTTCCTAAACCAAATTTGTGCTCACATTGATCAATAAGGGCCTCAATACCAGTCAGACCAGGACATGATTCGGTCATTGCAGATAATATGAGAGAAGGGGAAGCAGCAGAATGGATTGCTCAACTCCACCATGAAGGAGCCCCCGAGTTGGAAGATGTGGACAAATTTGTGCAGTCCCTAAAGGCCTGATTTGAGGACACGGCAAACTGAGAGGAAGCTGAGGCAGAAATCAAGGGACTGAAGCAATGCGGTTAGCTCTCCAAGAAGTTTGTGTGGGAGTTTGGAAGAATGGCCGGAAAATTACAAGGCTGGCCTGAGTGATAACTTCATCCACTACCTTAAAGAAGCCCTGGATCAGGATCTTCACAAGTGTGTGCCTACAGGGGGGGTGCCTGACCAGATCCAAGATTGGTACCAGATGGCGGTGACCATGGACTTAGAAATTCACCCCTACTGGAGATCGGCGCCAGAGAAACCCCTTAAGCAGCTGTTGGATGCAGGCCAGCCGGCAAGCTGTCAATAGAGGTGAGACCAGCAGCAAGCCCTGGGGCCAAGTGCTTCAGATGGGGCCAGCAAGGCCATCGAGCTTGGAATGCCTCACGCAATCCCTATTCCCCAGGCACTAACGTCAACAGCAGCCAAGTCAAAGAAAACTCCCTAAAAGCTGCCAGACAAGGGGAGGTTCATTCAGCAATCCATGGAGGTTCCCCCCCCCCACTTGCAATCTGATGCAGGGAGAACTCCGGCTCCAGAGATGATCGACGCCAGTGGGAGTGGCGAGGAGGACCCGATGGTAAGTGAAGCCATCTGCCCTTTTGCCATAAAGTCTCATATAATGGTGCTCCAGAGAGGAACCATGGAGAGCTAGAAGCTACAATAAACACCAGCTGCACCCAATGCTTAATTAGCTTCCAGACTGTGAGAAATTTAGAAATTAAAATGATAACTCTAAAACACCCTATCCACTTTGAACAAGTAGATGGTTCGCTTATTGGGAGCCAGCGACTTTGGTTACCGAACCTGTAAGGTTAGAAATGGGGTGGCACTGGGAAATGATACGATTAGTGGTTGCCCCCAAAATGATCGAAGTACTCATCCTCAGTTTGGCTTGACTAGACCAGGAGTCTGCAATCTTAAACACTCAAAAAGCCATTTGGACCCGTTTCCCACAGAAAATAAAACAGTGGGAGCCACAAAAGCTGAGTGAATGTGTCCTATGACACCCCCCCCCCCAGCCAGGTGTACCCAGGTTTTGTAGCTCCCAATATTTTCTTTTCCCTGGGAAACTGGTATCTCAGTGTTTGTGTGTGTGTGTGTGTGTGTGTGTGTGTGATTTCTCTCCTCTCTCATCTCTCTCTCTCTCTCTCTCTCATCTTTCTCTCTCTCATCTCTCTCTCTTTCATCTTTCTCTCTCCTTCTCTCTCTCTCATCTTCCTCTCTCTCTCATCACTCTTTATCCCTCTTTTTCTCTCATCTCCCTATGTCTCTTTCTCTCTTTCTCCTTCTCTCTCTCATCTCCCTCTTTCTCTCATCTCTCTTCCTTCCTCTTTCTCTCTCATCTTTCTCCTCCCCTCCAAGAGAAACCCTTTTTCTCTTTCTCGCTCTAATCTCTCTGTCTCTTTTTCTCTTATTTCTTTCTCCCTCTCTCATTTCTCCCTCTCTCTCCATCTCTCATCTCTTTCTCCCTTTCTCTCTCATCTCTGTCTCTGTCTCTGATTTCTCTCTCTCTCTCTCTCTCATTTCTTTTCTCTTTCTCTCGCGTGTGTGTGTTTCCCCTTGAACCATTTCCAAAAACAGGCAAGCGTTGGGGTATTTTTTTTGCATGTTCTTCTTCTTTGGGTGTTTTTTACCATATGATTTCAATCAAGAGTCATTTCAGGTTCCCAGATGAATCTTTCATCCCCCTGATGACCCTCCCCTCCCCTCCCACTCACTCTTCATCTGCCCTGAGAAGACGGCGGTGGTTGAAGACTCTTTCCGTATTCCAGAGTGGGAGTAAAGCACCCTTTACTTGCCTCTTCTTCCAGCCCTTGTTGGTGCTATGTGCACCTTATGCTAAATTTAAGTGTGCTGTGCAAGGCGTTGCAAGAGCAGCAAGCAGCTGTGGAGGTGGTGAGAGAAATATGGGGAGACGCGCAACTTTCTCTCTGCCCTGAGACACTGCTGCTTTCGCCGCTGCTTTCACCACCTCCATGGCTGCTCGCTGTTCTTGCAGCACCTCGCACAGCACACTTAAACTTAGTGTGCTTCATAATGGGGGAGACTGCATCCCCTCCTCCTCCTGGAGCCCATTACGATGCATAACATTGGCTATAGCTGGCTCGGCCAGTGTCTCAGGGCAGAAAGTCTCTCCTTTAGCAGCCGAGATGTGCACAAGGACCAGAAAAAAGAGGCAAGTAGAGGGGTTCTTTGCTCCCTGTCTGGAATACGGAGCAAATCTCCATCCGCCGCCGTTGCCCTTCTCTTCTCAGGGCAGGCGAGGAATGAGCGGGGAGGATGAGGAGTGGGGCCAGCCAGTGGTGGGATCATCTGACAGGGAGCCAAAGGAAAGAGCCCAAAGAGCCACATGTGGCTCTAGAGCTGCACATTGCTGACCCTCAGGCTAGACAAATGGGCCCCACCAATATATGGGAAGACAGCTATTGTAAAATAAGGATAGGCATCGGCACCTTGCCGCCCCTCCCACAATCTGAGAACCGGCCATCTTTGGGACCCAGCAATCACAGCCAGAAGGGAGGGAGTGGCGTCCACAATGGAGGTGCCGCCCAGTTGCCTGCATGTACCCAAAGAGTATCAGGACTAGCAAAAGATGGGGTGGAGCCAGCTGTCTAGGAGAGAAGATATGTGAGCAGATCTCTCTGAGAAGCACGCTTTTTTAAACTTCATTTTGTGGGACCTTTCAGAGGTCAAAGGAGGCTTGTAGGGTTTCCAAAGGTGTAGGGGTGCTGAAGAACCTACATGGGTGGCGGTTCGTGCGGGGGAGCGGAGAGAACCTGGATCAAGCAGACGAAGGAAGGACGATTGGTAGACCGTGCAGCTGGTCATACTATCAGTGAAATAGCAGAACGAAGGTGCA